TTTTTTTTTTTTTTTGTTTGTGAGCTGTTTTGGGGGAAGACTGGCAGGTCAAACAGAACTATGTCCCAGTCTTCCCTGTGTATCTTGAGCAACCTCCTCAAACCCCTCTGACTTCCAGTTTCCTCATCTACCTAATGGAGATCAAAATAATGCTGGGGCCAGAAATTTCAGCTGTAAGTCCCGAAGAATTCAACTCAACCTGGCATATCCCACAACGAAAGAGCGTTCTTTGGCTCAGGTGACGGGGAAGTCCAGAGGTGACCTGGCTTCTGGTGAGTTTTGGTCACATGGCTCTCACTGGAGCTAACAACAGAGGAACACACTTTCATGGGTCAGCCATTCACTCCTCACAGCACACGTAAGAGGTAAACATCATTTCTGCTTTGCAGGTGAGAAAACTGGGTCACAGAGAGATTAACCTGGATGATATGGTTAGCACACGGTGGCTGGGATGCAGTCCAGGGATTGCAGCAGTTAAGCCTGTGCTCCGCCACTGTACCAGGCTGTCTCCTCTGTGTGGCCTGCCCTGTTCCTCCTTGGTCTGCGGTTCTTCATCTGTGAGAAGAGGTGACCCTGTCCTGTGGTGGAATTGCACAAGGATTGGCGATCTCACGTGGAAAGTGCTCAGCGGTTTGTTATGGTGGGATCAGAATGTCCTCCCAAAGGCTCCTGCATTCAGAGGTGGGTTTTTTGTTTTTTTGAGACAGGATCTCACTATGTAGTTCAGACTGCTCTGGAAGTCGCTGTGTAGCCCATGCTCGTCTCAAACTCACAGAGATCCTCCTGCCTCAGCCTCCCGAGTGCTGGGACTACAGGCGTGCGCCACCACACCTGGCTCAAAGGTGGGTTTCTTTGGAAGATGATTGGATCGTGGTGTGCTCTGTTCATCAGGAGATTCAGGATGAACTCCTACTGAATGCACTGTTGGCAAAGAGAATGCAGCAAATCATTAAAGAGATTGTAAACCATGACCAGGGAGGATTCATTCTAAGGATGCAGGATGGTTCATCATACACAAATCAATAAATATAATACACCACAGCAACAGAAACGAGGACAAAAACAACAGAATCATCTCAATAGATGCAGAAAATAAGAATCCGACAAAATCCTACACCCATTCACGATAGAAACCCTGCAGAAAGTAGGAATAGAAGATCTTTATCTCAGTCTGATAAAAGCCATCTGTGACAAAGCAGTGGCCAGCATCATACTCAACAGAGAGAAGCTGAAAGCTTTCCCTCTCAAATTAGTGACAGGACAAGGACGCTTGCTATCATCACCCCTGTTCAACACAGTCCTCAAAAACATTAGAGCAAGTAGACAAGAGTGAAAAATAAAAGAGACAGGAGGGGCCGAGTATGTCGCTCAGCGGTACCAGCGCCTGCCT